TTTCCCTGGGGACACAGGAGGGAGGCGATGGGGGGTGGGGAGCGCAGGTGAGACCCCCGCCCCTCCAAGCCCTACCTTCAGCTCGCAGCCCCTCCTTGGCCAGCAGCTCCCGGACCTCGCTCTCGATGTGGTGGAGCTGGGGGTTGTCCCGCCCCATCTCCCGGCGGGGCCGGTCCTGTTGCCGGGCGCCACCAGGTCCGATCCTGCTCACCCGCACCCGCACGTCGGCTGGGGGGCCAGGGCTGGCCTTCCTCCCAGCCCCCTCCTCTTCCTCCTTCTCCTTCTCTCCTGCTGGGCCAGGGCCAGGGCCAGGGCTAGGGCCAGGGCCACCCCCATCCAGCTTGTCCATGAGGCGGTTGAGGGTGGAGGCCAAGGACTTAGAGGCCTGGTTCCGGTCAAACTCCCCCTTCAGCCCCTCTGTCTCCAGCTCGTCTTCCACCTGCGAGCGATGGGGAGGGTCAAGGGTGGGCCCTATCCAGCCAAGAGGTCCCTGGCATAGTGACCCACCTCGTTGATGATGTTGTCAAACTCCTTCTCCATCTCAGTCTTCACCTCCTCCTTCAGCTGGGCCATCTGCTCCCGGGGCAGCAGAACAGCCTCCAGCTCCTTCTCAAAGCCACCCAGAAGGTCCCTGTCTTCCTCCTCATCCTCTTCTTCATCCTCTGGTTGCTCCCTCTCACCTGCTGGGGGTTCCTCAGGTACGGGGACATCTTGGGGAGCCTTCACTGCTGTTGCCGTCTCCTCCTGCTCCTCTCTCACCTTCTCCTTGGCCTGGAGGCAGAGGGAAGGACACTATGAACGTCCTTCAGTGCTGATGGAGAAACTGAGGCACAGAGGTTCCCAAGAAGCCAATCCTCACTGTGGCTGGGCCTGGCACGTGTGGTTACTCACTTTCTTGGTGCTCTCCTTCAGCTCCTCGATGAACTGGAGCAGGTCCCCAGGGCTCCTGATCACTTTGAAATGGATTTTCTTCCGTGTATCTACAAGGCGACCGCCGATTCAGACAAGCGAGAAAGATGGGGACAGCGAAGGCCCATGGCACATGCAGAGTGGCCACTGCTGGCCACACTGGAGACTCACCAGCTGTCCGGCCACTGGCTGCCTTTGGGGATGGCTCCTCCCCCTGTGTGAAGGAGATGGGGTGATGGAGCAAGAGCCTAAACGGCTCCTCTGATGTGGCACCCACTCAGCCCTGCTTGCCTTCACCAGTGGCCATGAGGACGTCCCTGGGGACTCACCCTAGTGCTGTCCTGCTGGTCACCAGTCTTGCCTGTCACCTCGCGGACCCGCTCCCAAAAAGCTGCCTCCTTGGCTGGGTCTGGCTCGTCCCCTGGCGTGGCTGGCACGGGAGGAGGAGACGGGCAGGCTGGCACCAGGCAGCTCCCAGCATGCTGCCCCAGTTGGCAGACGTGGGGTGAGGAGGGGACAGGGGTTGTACCGTCCCCGTGGGGGCAAGGAGGGGACGCAGGCTGTACCATCACCGCGTGGTGCCGGGACGCTCTCAGGAGGCTGCGCGGGGGTCTCGGCGTCCCTCTTGCTCCACAGCCTCGTGTCCAACGTCTTGAGCTCCTCCGAGATCTCCTCCACCTTCCGCTTGGTGTCGGCTGGGGAGACAGAGTGGGCCGGTGTCAGCGTGTGCCAGGCTCCCGACGCGTGCCGGAGGGGGTTCCCTGCTACTCACAGACTTGGGCGTGGACGTACTGCACGTAC